GCAGAGAATTAAGAAAGCATTTTCTTGCAAATCTTAATGGGAAGAAAGCAGGTGTAGCCACACTCCTATCAGACAAATAGACTATAACCAAAGTGCCTTAGGAAAGATAAAGAAGAACGCTATGCAATGATAAAAGAATCAATAAATGAGAATATGAAACACTTTAACATATATGCATACAATATAGGAGCATCTACATATATAGAACAAATACTACCAGACATAAAGGGAGAAATTAGTTGCAATGCAATAATAATAGGAGGTTTTTACACCCCACCAACATCAACCCACAGATCATTCAGAGAGAAACTCAATAATGCAACAAAGATCCTGAAAAATATGATAGACCAATTGGACTTATTGACTTTTCTTTTTTTAGGCATTAAACACACACTCAGACTAAGGAGGGCAGAGTACACATTCTCACAAAGTGTTTGTGGACATTAGAGGTTGCGGAGAGCGTGTGCCCATCAGACCCAGAAACAGCACAGCCAGAAATGTCCCTGAGGACAGCTGGGAACTGGGAGCTGAAGGAAATTGTTGACTCAAGGGGAAGCGCCTGCCCAGTCACCCCGGGTCTGTCACTGGTCTTGGGCTCTGAGCACCGCCTGCATCCTTGCAGGGAGATGTGCGTCTGGACTCACACTGAACCCCCCGCTCTGTGTCTTTCACACGGTAACACACGGCTGTGTCCTCGGTGGTCACAGAACTCAGAAGAAGGGAAACTGGATCTTATACCCCACCCATTCCACCCTCTTCCATGGAGCCTGGGAATCCTAGTCTCGCCACAAACACTGGCGACGCTGTGCCCACCAGCTCGGCATTTCTTCGCCGGCCACCTCCTTCTCTTGCGATTGTCTCTTCACAGGCACTCCTGGAAAACGCTTGTTTACAAGAGAGAGTGTGGCCGACAGCTGGTCTGCAAGAGACGGAAAGAAAGGACTGTCAGCTCTGTGCTCCTGATGCGCAGGCGCTACACCAACTGGTGAAGATGCAGCAGTTTATGAACAAAGTTTCTGGCCCAAATGTCTTTCTCAGCGACCTGCTGGTTAACTGCAGGAGGAAAAGCACACAGTAGCAGGGAGGCTGCGATCAGCGCTGCCCGAAACCAAGGAGAGTGCGGCTAGTTACCTTAGAAAAGCAAGCTTCCTGGGAATCAACACACGACTGCAATCTGGGGCCTGCAACCAGGGGAAACACATGAAAACTTCCAGCAGTGATGCAGAAGTAAACATTTATTGAGAGAAAAGGAAGTTTTGAGGGCTACAGCATACCCAGAGTTCATGCTTTTTCACTAGCTTATTTTGACAATCTCTTACTGAGTGAGTTGTTGTAAGGAAAATAGAGGCATTGTCCTTCCTGTTGGTCTCTGCTATCATTGTCAGGCAGAAGAGATCCCCTTCTGGTCTCCTAGTTGGACAAAATTGAAGTTCCTGTTTGTTTTCTCTTATTCATTTTATTTTCTTTTTTCCATTTTCCCCTTTTGCTTCAGATTTTCTCTGGAAGTTTACCTGATCAATAGATTTTCCAGTTTCAGTGGCTGTTTCTGAAAGCCAGTAAGGATCTTTCCTGGCTGTAGTGCTTTGTTTATGGGAAAAAGTTCACAATTTGGACTCTCTCTGGTGAAGTTGAAGTCATTTTTATGACAATATATTTTGCATATATTAATATTGTTTGCAAAATTACAGGTAAAAGAATTCTAGACCTAAAAAAGTAAATGAAATTTTTTGATATATGCATCATATGTTTTAAATCTATTTGTTACATGTGAGCTAAACTATCATTCCAAATCAAAATTCTGAAGCAGTTATTTTCTCTACACCCACAGGGGCGAAGTTGTAAATATTAAGACAATAACGTCTGCTTTGGCCCAGCCTTGTTCCTCATGATTCCGGTTGGACCAAACCGGAGCTGGGCTTCAGGCTGTACATTCCATGCAGACAATGTAGAGCTCCCTCCCTAGTCCCAGGTCTCCGCCAAGACCTCCCCAACCCCATTCTCCTGTTGGCTCCATGCTCAGCTCCCTCACTGCTCATATCCCAAAAATACACATAGAGGAGTGTGTACTGATGTCTCTGAGTGCACAGAACTTCAGAGGGTTTTTGTATTTCACTTTACCACATAGAGTAATTTAAGCCCAGCAATATGCCTTCTGCAGTTCAGCGTTTTAGTGATATTTGACCAGATACCAGGTCTTTTTGGTTTTATTCTTTCTTTCTTTCCTTTCTTTCTGTGACAGCATTGTGTCCTAGTTGTCATGTGGCTCTTCCATTCGACGTGCGGGTTCTCCACTTGTAGGGTGGGCTCTGCTTTCTAGCTGCGGTGTGCAGGCTTAGCTGCCCCTTGGCATGTGGGATGTTACCTTTGTGACCGGGGATGCACCTATATCCCCTGCGTTGGAAGGCAGATTCTTAACCACTGGACTACCAAGTTGTCCTCCGATATAAGGTTTTAATTCAGAGTTCCTCATCATTATCAATATTTGAGGCTAGATATTCCTGTGCTGTGGGTCCTGTCCTGTGCATTGTAGGATGTCTGGAAGCACCCATGGACTTTCCCAACTAGATTACTAGGTACTTACAGCACCTCTCCCATGTGTTAGAAACAATCTTGTCGTCAAACTTTGACAAATGTACCCTGGGGGACAATATCACTCTGGTGATACCTTGACATCATTTCCATATGTATAAACATTAGTCTGACTATTCAAGTGAAAAATGTTGCCTTAAACAGGACAGGACTGGACTCCAGAAAAACAGGAATTGCAGACCTTTGTGATAGCGGAGGAAAGATTTGAAGTTCAACAGTAGAACCATTCATGCCAGGAAATGTTTATAAACTGTATGGTTTATATACAAATTGATAAACTTATTTTGTTAGATACTAGATAACGAATAACTTGGGTGGTCACCTAAATTTAAAAACAAGCTGTCATGAAGAAGCAATTCTATGCAGCTGGTTCTATGATTGATGGGGCAACACAGGCATGACTGAGTCCATGAAGAACGCCTCCAGTTCAGAAACACTTGGGGAAGGAGAAACTATGAGGCACCCACTTCACAGACATCACCCCATAATTCCACATGCCTCAGCCGGGAGAGATGCTCACAGACAGGAGATGCCAGCAGGAAGAGGAACAGACAGAATCGCTTCCTGTGCTTTCTGGTTAGACATTCGACTCTGAGAGAATGACGGCGGTGGAGACGGACACAGACACTGACTGTGGACGTGGCACGGGCCACTCGACCGTGTCAGTCAGGCCGTGTGAAGTACTGCACTTGTCCATCTCTGCCTGGCTTTCAGGCAAAGTCGGGCTAGTGAGAATTCTTACCCTTGACTTCTGGTCGCCCTCAATCCCTAATGCGATTCTTTACACCTGCTTTCTCCCAGGGGATACATGATCGTATGATCGCCGTTACCAAGAATTCTCTGGAGACAGTCTCGCCAGATCCCCGTGACTAGAAGTCTCCTCATAGTCATCTCCCATCTAGTCCACTTACCAGTGTTTTTCAGCCATACATCTCGGTCTTACCGTCTTTGTTTCGCATTGAGTGAAGTTTCAAGGCTGCCTCAAATAACAAAAGTGAGATTTTCAATCCTTGTTTAAAACTCGTATTCATACGTGACATTAGTTTCAAGATCACACCTGCAGAAGTATAATTTGTACATAAATGAAGCTTATCTGTCATTGGTGCTTTCTATTTAAGTCAACACACAGCGCCATGTGTTAGGGACTCCAGTCTGTACTTCAGGATATGATGGGACTGCTATAAACAGGCAAACTGTCAAGTAATAGCATAACACTGCTACAAATATAGCATTAATTGACCATGAATGACACTAATTTACATAATAGGAGCTGAAACAAGAAGGCATGAATTTGACTGACCTCAGGAGAAAATGTATGTGTGACTTGGTGTGGTTTTAGTACCAGCCGCGTTGTAAATGTCCATGAAGAACAGCCAATAAAAGAAGCGTTTTCCTTTCGGGAGGCGCATACCGGGGGCCTGAATTTAAAGCGATGGAACCGTGAGCAGTGAGGTCATTGCATGTGCGGTATCGGGCCCTCGTCGTCAGAGTCTGCTCCACGGCAAGCTGACGGAGCCAGCCACTTTGTGCCCTTGGCGGGAAGCTGCGGGCAGCGGCGCTTCCTTTCACATCAAAAGCGAAGAGCAGCAGCAGCTTGTCCGCATTTCCAACGCCCTGGGCCTTCTCAGGGCGGGCACCAGGTCCGAGGATTTCTTGGTAACTTTGGCAACTATGGGGTCTTTGAACTTGGAACTGTGGTAACTATGAACTTTGGTAACTGTGGCGCTGTTGGGACTCCTTCAAGAAACAAGAAGACGCCTGAAGACAGCATCATGCTCTGGAGGAAACACAGCCCGCAGGGACGGAAGCCCCGAGGGGAGCAGAGGCCCCGCGGGGGTGAGGGCGGGAAAGGGCGCGCGGGGCTCTGGCCGCGGCCGCCAGGCCCGGCGCGCCTGCTCCCGGCTCCGCGCTGCGCTCGGGGGTCCTGCGCGCCCCCTGGTGGTCGCGGAGCCCCAAACAGGGAGGCTGCGTCTGCGCTCACGCTGACTGCCCGGCACTGGGTCTCTTGCACGGTGATACACGGTCGTCCCCTCTGCTCCCAGGTTGTTCATTGGCAGAGAGCTGTGTTCTCAGAATTGCCTCTGGAACTGGTGAATCGGCCCTTCACAGAGCCTGCATGGTAGGTGCTGCCACTACCAGGATGGATATATCCAACTTACTCCAGGCCCTCCCTTGGATGCTGGCGGGTCCAGGGCATGCAGTAAGGACTGAAGGTGTGTTCAGAGGCTGCGCGGGACAGTCTCAGTCTCCCCTCCCCTCTCCGGGCTGCCCCAAGCAGACTCACCAGCTGTTCCTCGCACAGGACACCTGCAAACTCGGAGACCTCCTGGTCAGGAGGCTGTCACACACCCACTGTTTCCCTCACTCACATGCGCTGTCACCTTCGGGATCTCTTGTTCTCCATCACTCACCTTGTGAAATAGCAACAAGGACAACCCCTCCCAGTCCAAAGTCCATGCTGAGTGGTCTGTGTTCAGTCCTGATCCCTGAATGGGAGCACCTGGATCCTGGGACTGGGGCTCCACTCCAGAGCTGCAGGGTCAGGGCTGGGCAGGTTTTCATCAGCAGAGGGAGGATGCTATCTGCATGTCTCCTGACTATGTAGCTGGATGTGGGTTTGGACACTGACAGAGGAGGAAGTGCCCCATTGCACCTGTGAGTATCCTGGGTAGTGTGTTGGCAGCGACAAGATTTGGCAAGATATTGTTCTATTATGTGGCCATATCTTGGGAGAACTTCAAAGCTCATCATATTTTTTCAGTTTTGCACACACAAATAAACAAAGCATTTAGGTTTGAATGTTAATACATTTACATGGATCACATGTAAAATCCCAAGCAGAATCATCAAGGACTGTGCAATGTGTCCAAGGGACTGTATCCGGTAGGTGTGAGCCCTAGTGCCTGGGCTTGTGATACTCACCCTGGACCAAAATTCTCCCCTGAACCTGCTCCATGACAGAGTGGGATATGCCTAATGAGGAGGTCTGCAGGACCCTTTCTTGTAGTGAGAACATGTGAGAGCCTGTTGCATTTCCTGGAGAATGTCTAGTGACCCAGGGTTCACACAGGTGCATTTTCAGGACATTTGCATTTGAAATATATGACATACCTGCTCATCCAGACAATCACAACAGTGAGCAAACCCTTCTCACCAAATGTCCCCCTCTGGACCCTCTGTCAGTCCTCTTCCCTTGCCCCCCACTGCCTCCTCCCACCCCATATCAGGTGACTCATCATGCTCATGGCCTCACCTCACATTTGTTTTTATTTCGGGAATGCAATGAGTGGGATGTGCAGCATGCACTTTAGTGGAGGGAAGACACCGAGTGTGGGATCAAGAGTTATCCTGACACCTTCAATCCTTCCTGATTAGAAATATGAATCTGGATGGGGATGTGACAGAGAACTCAGTTGGAAATTAAAATCATTTGTAGACCGCTTATTTTCTTCTCTGTATCCCTAAAGAATCCAGTAAAATCAAGTTTTCTTATGTAAAATGCGTGCAGGGTGCTGGCCCGTCTGGGATTCCTGTTGAGGTCTGTCTTCTGAGTCTGACTGGAAGAGACTCCCTGTATTCCCTGGCCCTCCTCATGTCTCACCTGGTGACACTGACAGTCGTTTCTCCCTCCACAGGTGACCCTGTGGCCTTGGTGAGGTGAGAATGTGTCCTCATGACCCCGTGCCTTTGGTGAGGTGAGAACGTGTCCCCCTGTTACAGCAAGGGTTCTAAATTTGAGTTGTTGGCAATTAGTTATAACTATAGGGGGCTCCATGGAAAATAGAGATGGAGAGGAACCCACAGACTGTGGCAGGAGAGCAGACTCATCCTCCACATGTAGCTGGTGCTGAGGCTGGACCCTGTGCGCGCTGAGGGTGCCCTGGGGGTCCTGAGGGTCCGGAGGGCCCTGAACCCAGCCCCTCCTGCCTCCCTGCAGGAAGGTGTGTGCCTGGCCTCACACGCCTGCATGTCTCACCCAGTAATACACAGCTGTTCCCTTGGTGGTCACAGAGCTCAGTGGCAGAGATCACTGGTTCTTGGATGTGTTCCGGGATGTGGAGGTGCGGCTCTTGAGGGACGGTCTGTAGTGAGTGTCCCTGTGTTGTGTATATCCCCATCCACAGCAGCCCTACCCTGGCACCAGACAGAAAAAGCTGCAGTGATGTCCACCGGTGATGGAGTAACCAGAGCTATGAATAGCACACGTGAGGAAGCGTGTTGGCTGGAGCTTCACTAGTCCTAGACAGGATCTGCAGCTACCCCTGAGAGAAGACACCTGGGGACAAGGAGAAGCGGGCTTTGTCAGTCACCCCAGTCACAGCCATCCCCGCAAACCCATGTCTGACCGGAGACCCTCACCTTGAGGAGCTGTCACCAGGAAGAGGAGAAGACCCCATCTGCTCTGGAAGAAGCCTCATCTTCTTCGAGACTACGCTCTGCCTTCCCTGAGACCTCAGCCTGCGTGAGGGAGAGCAGTGAGCTCCCACTGCCCAGGGTTGGATTTTACCCTGGAGCTTGAAGAGGAATTTCATTTAAGAGCTCTATGCCTGAAAGTCCAGGGAGGCCATGGTCACACTAACCCTGGTCATCCCAGGATCCCCACGGGAGCCTTCTGAATTCACACGGCTGGAAAGCATAGGGTGGGAAAGCACTGGGCCTACCAGATGGGTTGGAGACAGATCCCAGGGCAGGTCCACTTTTCTGAGCCCGGAGTCTCCATCCTCCATAGCCTCCCTGCTGCCCACCCCCCATCTCAGCTCAGCTCCCCTTCCTCTCAGGTGGAAATGGAAAAGTCCTCCTGAAGACCTCTGTTTTTCCCCTTATGAATGATCCAGATAAGTTCAGAATGGAGTGTGGACTTCAAGAAAGTTGAGGTCAGATGGAACCACCTTGACTGCCCTCACTAGGCAA